ATGTGGCTATTTCGTCCTTTCTCTCTGTAAAAGTAAAAAATTTTGATCTTCCTGGATTTCTGAAAAATTAATAAACATCATATTTATTTCAACTCTAACAAAATTTTAATTTGCAGTTGTAAAATAATTGCTTATCATGTTTAATGCATTGGCGTGAGCAATGTCAAATAAATCGTCTGACTTTGACATAAATAAGTCTTCCTTCATAATTTTAGATTAAGTTCTTTTATTTAAATTTTTTTTTATTTGTCTCCATTCATTGTACAATTTTTCTAGTTTAGCTATACAATGCTGAATTTCTTGTATGGATATTCTCGCTTTATCCCAAAATATTATAATTTCTCGTATTGCAAGACGATCACTTTCACGAATATTTAATTTGCTATCAGTAATTTGGCTACATTCATTACTCAATAAATAAACATTATTTCTAGTTCTAGAACTCGCCATCATAAAAATTGATAATAGGTGTCCTACATGTAGGACAGTGAGAAAATAAGGTGTGATGTACAAAACAAAATTCGACACTATATTAATTATAATAAAACGACTTTCATATTACAATTGTCTATTTATAAAATTAATAACTTGTTAACCTATTTGGAAACTATTAATTANTCATCGTGTATTACGTTTACTTCGATTATTTTATTTTTTCCTTACTGTATATACATTTATTTTCTTTTAGTGTTTATACGTCTATTTACGTGTTATAATTTTGTTTAATAAAGTCTACCGCCATTTAAATAATTGTGTGTTGTAAGATTTAACCCACATAAGTAATGCATTACACCATCATATCGAGGAATATAACTAGACGGTTTTCCTCCTTTTCGACCTGGATTTGGTACTTTTTTTAATTTTTGTAGATAATATGTCGCAATGTGTCTACGAAAAGCCAAAAGGTCCATTGGTCTTTTTGTATGGAGTTTATGTAACTGCCAAGCATTCTGCACAGCCACATCAATAGAGTATGACACTATACACGAATACCATTTTTTATCACGAATAGAAATTCGATATTGTGAAACGTTTTGATCCATACGATCAACACCACCAATATTTTGGTTGTACAAATGTATAATTCGTGGTTGAGGTAATCTTATACATTTTTTATCTAAAACAGACCATCTTTTTGCGGCCGTGACTGGCTCAACTCCAACATTGTTGGATGCTATGGTAACAGTGATATTGTCCTTCCATGCATATACCAAAATACCCGAATCAGAAACATAACTTTCGTACGAACCTCTTTCTTTTTTTTCATTGCAGCAAAATTGATTGGACATTTTTTTGTTCTGTTTGAACGTATTGTCCCTGTTCCATGTATACCCATTTCACTTAACTTTTCTAATAATGGCAAACCAGTGAAAAAATTATCAAACACCAAATGATATGGAGCTTTACGGTGAGCCAATAAATTATTTGCATATGATATGATAACTGACGCACCCAGGCCATACTCAGTATTTTNGCATATGATATGATAACTGACGCACTCAGGCCATACTCAGTATTTTGAAGATCACCACTTTTTCCTTGATAGGGAGATATCCAGACTACATAGCCTAATCTCAGAGTCCCGACCCAAATTTTGAAACTAAATCGAATAAGCTTACCCCTTATGAACTGTTTGCAGCCATGTCTGCCGAAATATAGTACCATTGATTTATCTATACTACGAAATTGTTGATGTGGTGCGTGTATCAAAAACCTTGAATTTAGCATAGAAATTAATGGTCTTATTTTAGAAAATTGTCATGCTCATCAAACTTGCTATTGTCACAGAAATGAATATTTGAAAAAAATTGGTCAAAATGATTTCGTCGCATAGCACTTGAAACTAAGTTGTTATATGTATCTGGTAATTTTTCCCAGTACATACGTCTTCGAGATACTTCATTATAACCTGATAACAACAAGATACCTAAAAAACACTTCAGCTCGTTTACATCAATTCGAAGTGTTTGGTTTTTATTAGATAAATAATCAACAATCATTTCCAACATTTGTTTGTTTATTAGAAAAATAGCTCAAACAGTTCATAGGGTTGTAACGGACTGTAAAATAATCTTTTAAAAAATATCAAAAATAATTTTTTGATCATCAATAAAAATATTTGGAGTTTCGAGATCTCCCTCACGCCATAATATAGTTTGTTGAGCATCTTGGTTTTGTTTTGTTATTTTATTTTTTGGTCGATGTGCATTTTATGTTTTATTTTCTTTTGTACTTTATTACCACTTACTTTATGTTTGTTTGCTACTTCTGTGTTCTCTGTATCAGAATCGTGTATAACTATATGTACATTTAGTAAGCTAGCCGACATGCGGTTTATATCACCTATCGGTCCATCATCATCGCTGTCTTCATCAGTGATATCATTATTTGCATTTACGGGTGGCTCCATAAATATGTCAGTAACATCGTCAAAAATATCATCGATATCCCCTTGTTCTAATAATTCGGTTACTTCGTGAACAGTTAGTCGTCTATAAAATTAAAAAATAGTTATATATAATAAAATATAATATAATAAAAATTGATCACTTGTGGCTAGTTAATTAAGTAAAATTAAAACTATATTAAAAATATTATTAATTTAAAAAAACTAAAAAATATTAAAAATATTAAACTCAAAATACTGTTGTATTTAAAACTAATAAAAATATATTTAATTCATGTTTTATCATATTTATGTATGGTATAATAATTTCAGTAACGGATGTACCCAGTGTCCTTCATTTAGGACACTATGATTTTTATGCTTATAAATTACTTAATATAAATAAAATATGTACTCTAGTTAGTAAAATATGTTTACTATAGACTACTTAATAGTTTTTATAAATGATTATGCAAATTATAAATGAACAAAATATGAACAGATTGGGGAAAATAATTCTATAAATTGATCCGATACCAATGCCTATAAATCAGTGTCCTACAGATAGGTCACTAATAAAAATATGTATTAATAATAATGAAATTTAGTATTTATGATTTTAAGAATAAAAAAAAAGTTATTATTAATATGATCAACTATTTATTTACTTAATGTCAATAAATTTTTTTTTCAACTGTGTATTTTTAATTATTTTTTTTAGGGGAGGGGGTGCTAAGCCCACACCACGGTTTTTGTGCTGAATTTGTTAATAATTAAATAATAAACGATTTTTGTATAAAAGATGTATTCGTATCTCAAAATGTTTGTCAAATATAATGTAGTATTCCTAAATATTCCAATGTCGGCAAATCGATAAAATATACTATAATTTAAAATTTTGCTCGAAAACTATCAAGTTGATAACAGAGTAAAACAGAATTTTATGATGAAAATCAAAAACAATATTTATTACAAATTGTTAAGGATTATAAAAATATGTATCCCGACAGCAAAAAATCAACTTTATTATGATGAAAAAAATTTTGAAACTGAAAAAAACAATTAGTATGTAACATCAGCAAAATTTTTTTAACTGTGTATTTTTAATTTTTTTTTTGTGGAAGGGGGCCCCACATTACGGTTTTTGTGCTGAATTTGTTAATAATTAAATAATAAACGATTTCTGTATAAAAAATGTATTCGTATCTCTAAATGTTTGTCAAATATAATGTAGTATTCGTAAATATTTCAATGTCGGCAAATCAATAAAATATAGTATAATTTTAAATTTTGCTCGAAAACTAATGAGTTTAAAAAAAATGTCTAATGAATAAACTTATAGTCCAGAACATTGTCAATAATTTATATTCAATAATATTTTTTCTATGATCGCTCATTTCAAATTAAGTACAAAACACTAGAAAACTACCCCTTTTATTTAAAACTGCAATAACTTTTTCAATAATGATTTTATCAATAACATTTTTTTTATAGATGTATTATGTTTTTACCTATCATTTGATAAGACAGGTATAATAATGATAAAAATAAAGAAATATGATTTTTGTAAAAAAATTTTTTTTCATATCTTTAACTTTACTAATACATTTTGAAAAATGTATGGATCAATATAATATTTTTTTATAGATGCATGATATCTATATGATATACGGAGGAGGATTTAAAATGACAACTTTTTCAACTTAAATTTTAAAAGTGTTCCGGAATAATCTGACACTTTTATACGTATCTTAAATTAAAGATAATGTAATATAATACATTACGGAAAAAAAAAAATTTGGATTATATTTGAAGGGCTCCGTGCAACAACAAGACAAGTCCACCTTTTAAAATTGTTTAGGGGACATGTTTTATTTCACCAAAACTTTAAAAACTTATATTTTTATTTGTTAATACGACGTAAGTATCTTGAATGACTTGTAAATAGTTGAGTGAAGTCAAATTTCATTTTAAATAAATTTTTGATCTTCTAAAATAGCTTGAAAGTATGTAACATATGGACTTACCTGGTTTTTTGCTCATTAATTGTAAAAAACTTTCCCAAAATTCATTGTGTTTTGTATTATACTATAAACTAATTTACTAATTTCTTATAAACTATAGTAAATATGCTTTATTGACAGTTTTATAAATAATTATAATACTATTCAATAAAGTAAACAAATTAAATTTGATAAAATTAGTATTGAAGTATAAAATATATGGACTTACCTGGTTTTTGCTTGTAAGCATGTATTTAATAAGGTACGCTATAAGGTTTTCCAAAAACTAAATAATAATTATTGTTTTCCAAGTTTAACCATCAACTAATGTACTTATATTCTATATTATTACTATCCATATTATATTTATCAATANAGTTGGTGGACCTCGAATTGGTAGCTTCACACTCGACTACTATCCATATTATATTTATCAATTTATTATTTTTTGAAATATTGTATTACATATTTTACTAGAGTTATATTTTATTAAGTACCTATAACTTTTTTAATTACTTTAAGAAGAGTATTAAATAATAACATAGACTTTTTTTATAATATTTATATTACCATTTTAACAAAAAATAAAAAAAAAATATAAATCACCTTGTAACATTAATCTTAAACATCAAAATAAATAACATAATAACTTTTTGTTTTCCTAAATACATAAAAAAACATAATATTTTAAAAAATTTAACAATAAAAAATAAAATGAAATACATATTATAACATTTTTAAAATAGTATATTACTTTTCTTAGTAACAATATGACAAACCAAAAACAAAAAACATAATATTTCAACTCTTAGTAATAATAAAAACTTAATAAAACATAGTATTAATAGGTAATACTTTGTATTAATATTAATAAGTTAATTACTGTATAATAAGTATACAGTATTGTTCAATATTAGGCTAATAAAAATGAAAATAAAAAATATACAATTAATTTCAAAATGTAAAACATAAAAATTAATAACATTTATGAAATTTGATTTAGTTAGGTAGGTATAAAAACTTACAAAATATGATTAACTGGGTATTGTGTTCAATTTTCATAGTCAGAACCATCATTATTATTGATATTAACTTCTTCAGCAGCACTAAGTCCAATATAAAACCATAGGTATTCTTGAGGCACATATTTGTTTGCTAACTGAGTAACATCATTGAATTTTGACAGTTTCAGTTTAATAGGTTCATTGTACAATCTTAATAGTCCATTTTCATTTATAGTTAGTTCTTCACCAGTCTTATTTAAAGTGTATTTTTCTTTAACAGTAGAATTTCCAGATGTACTACAAAAAATACCTTTAATTGTATATTCGACATATCGGTAAGTCATAATAGTAAATTTTATTTTCTCTTTATTGGTTACAATTTTTTTAGCTAATGGAGATAAATAACTAGTAAAATCAAAAATCATACTTTGATCAACATGAACAACTTTAAATTTTTTATTTGTTTCTGAAACCATTTTTTCATATTCATCTGGCAAAAATACTCTTTCTACTTTTCTCCGTACCTTTTCAATGTGCCCAAAGCACCTATCACAGGGCAGGAAACTATGTCCGGGCTCAGGATATCTGTGAATAATTAATTTTATAGAAAAATTTGGAGTGTTGACCACAGCAGATAGATATTGAAATAGTGTTTTATTTTTATTTTGCGCACTGCAATTGTCAGAAAATAAATATAATGTTTTTATTCTTGGACTTAATATGTTTTTAAAATAGTGATGTAAAAAACTTATTACTTCGTTCTGNTTATTACTTTGTTCTGTCCTTTTTTAGCTAATGATTCATTGTACATATAAAAATGAGATTTGCCTGTACTTGCTGAGTGTATACAAAAATTAAATGACCAAAGTTACCTTTTATAAAAGACATCTCCTGATGGAATGTGTGGAAGAGGCATGTTCTGTTGAAAATCAAAACTTAAAACATCAATTGAATCATTTTGTTTGGCTTCAGCAGATAACTGCTTTAAATAAGTGTAAAATACTTCTGCTTTCCGCAGATGAATTTGTTTTTCTACTTCAAGATTACCTTTTTCTTCTTCATTGTGTTCATTGTCAATCATTTTTTTCAAGTTATCACAGGTTTGACAAGTGTCAGATCTGGGATAAGCAAATAAAATGTTGAAATTTGTATTAAAGTAATTATTAAAATAGTTGTATTTCAATTTAGGTTTCACTTGTTCATCATTTTCACTGTTTAAAACTGCCCATACATCAGGTTCATATTTTTCCAAATACATTCTATATAATTTAGCAATTGAAAGTTCAGGAGACATATACCTTACATTATTGTTATCAGACCTACTATAATGAGATTGTCTCTTAGGAAATGAATTAATAAACGTATCTAATTGGAAACATATATTGTCAGGTATTTTATTAGGTCGACTGTGATGCTTACCACGTTTATCCACTGGGCTGGGAACATGGTTCTTCAAATTTTTTATTATTCTTTCTATTCTGGATTTTCCAACTCCAAAAAGAGAACAAAACGCCTTCTTACAAACTGGGATAATATTTAAACCACTTTTTATCTCATATTTTACAGAACATTTTTTACTTGGTCGACTACCATCTCTTTTCCTTTGACGAATAACAGGTTTGACCCTAATTAATCCACCCAAATATGTATCTTGTTTGTTCTTATCACTTATATTATTAAATGTTACAAGTAAATTTAATTTTTGGTCATCCGATACATTAGTAAAACATTTTTGACGACAGTGACAGTCGGGGCCTGTAGTTCTAGGAGGAACAATAATTGTTTTGTCACGCAGAGAATTATATCCAATACCTTCAGACCTACAATTTTTTATAATATTACGTTTCCAACATGATTTATTTTGTATTCTTTTCTTACCAATACGAATAGATGTAGGTTGATCATCTTCACTGGATTCTGATATAATATTGATTAATCCTAAGGGTGTCGTTGAAAGTGGCTCAAAATGATCATCTGGATCAGAATCTAAACACAGTATGCCACCGAGATCGTCATTTTCAAAAACTGTATAATCTGGATCTTGAATGTCATCATCAAAATTAAATTCAAATGATGACTCAGAGTTAGATTCATCATATTCAAGTTGTTTTGTTATATTATCACAGTTCATTTTAAAATATAATAAAACTAAATAACACTGCCTGTTACAGCAACTAAATAAAAGTAAAAACTATACATTAACATTAATATTTACAATTAGTCTTAATATTTACAATTATAAATGGAAACTAAATTCAAAATATTATCAGTAACATATTTTTACGAATATCTACAAATATATACTATATAATATATACAAAAGGACATAAGCAAGTGGGTCAAATGTTGCATAGTTTGCCAGCGGGTCAAGGTGAATCGGCATACAGTTTCTCCAATTGCGCCCTATACACCCGTCGAACGTAGGTTCGGTCACATAAACCTAGACATTGTCGGTCCGCTCCCTCCTTCAAAGGGAAACAAGTATGTGATAACTTGTATTGATCGTTTCACCCGTTGGCCGGAAGCATGGCCAGCAGATAACATGTCCGCTCATACTGTCGCAGTTTTGCTTGTCAGTAACTGGGTTTCGCGTTTCGGAGTACCAGACTTCATCACCACAGACCAGGGACGTCAATTTGAATCTGAGTTGTTCAAAGCATTGTCAATCACCTTGGGAATTCGACACATTCACACATCACCTTATCATCCTCAGGCGAACGGCATGGTTGAAAGGTTTCATCGCACTCTAAAAACTGCTCTCACCGCAAGTGGTACAGTCAACTGGAGTGAAAAATTACTTGTTGTACTACTTGCCCTCCGTTGTACGGTCAAAGAGGACATCAATGCGGCGCCGGCTGATTTGGTGTACGGTACGGCACTACGTTTACCTGGCGAACTGTTTCATCAAGCCCCTTCAACAGCCCGCACACCGGATTTTGCCGACAAATTACGACAAAGTATGTCCCAACTGCGACCAACACCGGGAACTGATCACGCCTCTCGTCGTTCGATATTCATCCCGGCTGCACTAGAGCAGGTCAGTCATGTTTTCGTTCGTGTCGACGCGGTTACACCTCCTTTGCAACCGAAGTACGAGGGACCGTTTGCTGTGATTGAGCGCACACCAAAGACCTTCAAGATTCAGTGAGACAACGGTACAACATGGATTTCCATCGACAGGTTAATACCGGCGTTTGTTCTGCGTGATGACCCACTCATTGACCACAGTTATTCAGCGCGACCTATGGATTCCATGTCAGCCAAAAAACGTAAACAAGTTCGTTTTTTCCTCCGTTAGGGGGAGTATTGTGGCCGTGCAGCCACTATCAGTCACCAGTGTTACCGCATTTATGTCGCGTGAATTATATTTGTGAATTTATGTGTTTGTATTCGTGTTGTGTCGTTTCTGTTTGTATGTGATAAAAAAATGTAACTGTTATTTTGTTTAGTTTTTGGTAGAGTGAGTCTTCTCGATCTTATACAACACACGTTAGTTCCTGTTCACGTTCTTATACCTTTTATATTATTTTTTCTTGTAATTTGTTGTTTTATTAATTGGTTTAAACCTGACATACTTTTGTTTAATATTTGTTTAGTAACAATAAATATTTTTATACTTGTTAACAATCACTCATGCTGTTATACTTATTTATTGGAGCTCATATATACTCATAACCTCCAANTAACATATTTTTACGAATATCTACAAATATATACTATCAATACTAATTTGCAGTATAGCCAACAGTTCTGCGCAAAAACCAGACAAGTCCGGACTTACCTGGTTCTTGCTCATAATATCTTATACCAGACAAGTCCATTTACTTAATAACTCCGTAAATAATCATTGGACATGTCTCGTTGTTGCACACAATTGTAAAGAAAAAGAATCTACATATGATAACATCAAAAAGTGACTTTTGAAAAAAAGTGGACTTGTCTCGTTTTTGCACGGAGCCCTTCATTTTGTCTTTACGGTGAAAATAGTTACCGAATGCTATTTTTGTGTGAAAATTCTCGATTTTATATATTACATTTTTAACTATACAATGCTATAACTTGTTGATAAGTGTATGGATGAATACAATTTTTTTATGAGAAATAATATTTATATCCCTCATTCAACATGTTTTTTTTTAAATAACACCATTTTCCTTTATGTATTTATATATTATAATTATATATAGATATTTATTTATTCATATATTACACTTATAAATCATAAAACTTGTAATCAGGATATAAATAAGGAAATAGGAAATCATGTAGCTTTTGGAATAATCCTCTGATTGCATCGAAAGGTTTTTAACACGCTTATATTAGTTTGACTTGTATGTGTGATGTTTGTTTGTAACTTTCCACGCGGCACGTGTTATTATTCTCGTGTATCCCGTCGTCTAGACTAGACGTCGTAACGCATTCACCATACCCCGCTCACCAATCGCCAGCAACACTAATCCTGTATAATTTTATATTTTTGGTTTTCGTACCCGTACATGCGTGCGAGACATTAATTATATATATAAACAAATTTTTATTTTGACTGACCAATACCACCCGCATGTAATGCGCCTTGCGTATATATATTTATATATTCCTACCGCCGTTTATACCTCAGGTATAACGTTAGTCCGACCCGCCCGCCCACAAAACACAGCTATACCTAGTGATACGTTTACGTACTTAAGTCGCATTATTTGTATATATATATATATATATTCTATTTACTATTAAAATTTATATATTAACACGCTTTATTCTTATTAAGAGATATAAAGTGTATTCATTCCGATTACGGGGGATGATTCCCGTATCGTCATTTTTTGTCAGTACCTCCACGTTCTGGGAGTAAGTAATTTGCGCGCCTGCTGCTTACCTTGAATGTGGTAGCTGTTTCTCTATCACCCTCTCCGGAATCGAACTCTGATTTCCCGTTACCCGTTACAACCATGATATTGATATTAACTACTATCATAACATGAAACTAAAAAGTGAAAAATAAATATAGTTTAAAAAAACTAAAAAAACACTCTTTTAAAGCACATCGAACTAAAAAGTTAAAAATAATTTTTAAAATAAGCTTAAAACAATAATGAACAAAAAATACTAGTATTATTATGATAAAAGCGTGGGTGCTTTATGCCATATTTTTCGTATATTGAGCGCCCGACGCTTTTATCACAATAATGCTAGTATTTTTTGTTCATAATTATTTTAAAAATTATTTTTAACTTTTTAGTTCGACGTGCTTTAAAAGCGTGCTTTTTTAGTTTTTTAAACAATATTTATTACACACGTTTTCCATAAAAGTAATTACTACTTTATAATTTTTTATAAAATCTCCAAAAAAATGACTATACTAAATTATTAAATATCTATATTATACTAATTTAATTGCTCTAATAAATATTTATTCATATATATATATTACTTTTAAATCAAATAACTACTAATCAGGATTAATAAAGGAAATAGGAATTCATTTTGCTTCTGGTTTAAACCACTAACTACTTAAAATTAAACACTATCTACAATTTTATTTATTCTTATGATAGTGATTTTAATCACGGTCACATATCTATACTTGTTCCGACCTTGCCACGTCCACACTGTGCCGCACACCACTGTACTACCGTTGTTTGTGTGTTAAGGTGATATTGAATTGATATATTGCAAAAAAATATTTTTGAAAATAATTATCTTTTGAGTGTGTCTGAGCACTATCTTCTATTGTTTACAATATGAAGGTTTATAAAAATGATTTGTTTAGTTGATATATTATATTTATTTAATTTTCGCTATGTACGTGACACGATTTGGTTGTCTATATGAAAAACTAAGAAAATCGGATTAACAAAAATTTTTTTTTAACGACACGTCCCAAGATGTCGTTTATCGACGCTTAACCGTAACATGTGTGCTGATTTTAGCAATCAGCTGATTCTTTATCATCGTGAAACTGTAGTGCCAACTTAACAGCCAGATTTATCGATTTCAACGTGATTCAAAATTAAACGCCTAAAATCTTGTGAAAAAAAAAAATTAAGTGGATTCACAAAATTTAGAGTTTTTCTAATCCTAACGCATTCATTTTTTTGCTCCAAATATAATTTTTTTTTCCTACTCAGGGTACCTGTCAAAAATAATTGCTCTTCTGTATTTTCGCTACAAAAATGCTAGTATGTCTGGATTTTTACGAAGAGACGTAGGCCAATATGTTAGACCAAGAGGAGCAAGAATGTTTAATTTTTTAATGATACAAAATCATGTAGAACAAGACCACAGGGGTTATTTGAGCAACGGCCTCAAATTTGGCATTTGGCATTGAAGTCGCCACCGACAATAAAATTACCTTTTATGGTGTTAAAATAGTTGTTGAAAATCATGTTCGTGACCTTATGTGTGGGAGGAAAGTATAATGCAGCAATAGTAAATAAAGTATTTTTAAGTTTTAAGGATATGGAACAGGATTGTATATAGTCTTGGGAGTAATTGGGAAGATGTATGAATGGAATAGAAGATTTAATAAAAATAGCTACTCCTTCATGAGCAGTATTGTCTTTTAATAATTGATAACCAGGGAAGAAAAAATTTAAGTTTATATAAAAAGTTAGTTATATGTGTAGAGTTTTTTCGTTGTTGAAGATCTCTATAAACTGAACATCCTTTGCAATTGACTGGGTGGCTACTTGAGCACAGTGCGCATTTTGGAGGTTGTTCACGAGGCTTAGAGCAGTTAGACGACATATGATTGGCTCCACTCCACTTTATTGGGAATCTTTTTCCAGCCATCGGCAGTATTATTCAACACAATCAGCGAGAGCTGATTATTTGTATTATTATTACGGTTAACTTTATTATCAACTTTGTTGGTTGTTATAGATATGACAGAAACGGTAATTTAGATAAGAGGCCGTAGTGCGACATCCTAATGAGATAAGTACCACAGGCAATGTCGTGTGAAAAACTGACAGCTTTACGTTTTATCTGTTTAAATAATATAATAGTTTTTTCGATTTTTTTAACTTACGTTTTCGTTTTTTGTATGCAATCTATAGAATAGATAATTTTTGGGACAAGAGTGTTATATTTTCACAATTTAAACTTAATTAAATTAGTATACCACTATAACGGAAGAAAAAAAAACGTAGCGTAAAAATACCGGTGCATTCAACGACTGCTACCGCGCAACTGATTCTTTAATTTGAAAA